TTTTTCATTTTTCATTTTTTCTGCGCCTTCAGAGAAAGAAACAGAGACAAAGACGAAGACAAGACAAGACAAGACAAGACAAGAAAGACCAAGACAGAGACCAAGACAAAAACAAAGCTTTTCCATCTGCTGCTGACTAATCAATCAATCGGCCTCACCAACCAACCAACCCACAAAACTCGGCCGCGTCTTTTCGTTGGACCTCGGTAGTAGCAGCTTAGCTTACCTTAGCTTACCTCAGCTTGGTACCTTACCTTACCTCACCTCACCAAATTACCTAATCCCCTCCTCCGACCTGACTCGCGTGATAAGGCGTCATTCCCATTCCATGCAGCCCCGAAGCAGCGACTCGCTTCTTACTACTACTTATCGGTGCAGTAGGTAGGTACAGTATAGTATCGGGAAAAAGGATGCTCCACCACCCACCATGCATGCATGCGTGCGTGCATTCGTTCACGAACGGTATTATTTCTCATTTGTCTACGGAAGAGGAATTTAGGAATCTAGGTAGGTAGTAGGTGGGTGGGTAGGTATCGATCTATCTATCTGCACTTCGTACGCACGCACGCACGCACGGTATTGTCTGTCTACTTCTTCAATTGAAGGTTGACAGAGAGAGAGAGAGAGAGAGAGAGAGAGAGAGAGAGAACGAATCGGCAATCAGCTCTCGACGGTGGTGGAATACTATTCTACTCTACGGACCTATTTACTATTTGTTTGTTCGCCTTACGGATAGTAGATGAACGGACAGACGCACCTGGCGCATCGCATCGCACGCATCGCATCGCCACTCAACCCATCCACCTATCCATCTATCCCGAAGCCAACAAACCAAACACGCATATAATTCTCTCGAGGGAAATCGATCAACAAAGACACCTACTCCATGCCCATGGCACATTCAACCTCCTCCCCTGCCACCTCCCTCCTCATCTCCATCCCCTCAACAGCACACACCCACCTCATCATAGGCAGCAACCCCCTCGCCGCCTCCCGGTGCGCGCAATCCCTCGCCGCGGGCGCGTGTCCCCTGCTGATCGCCCCCGGGTCCAGCGAGCTGCACTACGCGCTGCAGAAGCGGGTGGATAGCGGCGAGGTGAAGTGGCTGCGGAAGGACTTTGAGGATGGGGATGTCTTGCGCTTGGGCAGGGAGGAGGTGGGCGGCGTGGTGGATGCCGTGTTTGTTACGCTCGGGGCGAGGGACGGGATGAGTACGTTTTGGATTTTTGGTCGTGTTCTCTACCGATTTCCTTTCTTCCGGCACTGGGATAGGGCTGACGAGATTGGTACTTCCTAGGTGCGCACATCTCCCAACTCTGCAGAAGGCACCGCGTCCCCGTCAACGTTGCCGATGCCCCCCAGCTCTGTACCTTCTCCCTCCTCAGCACGTACACCTCGGGCCCCCTCCAGATCGGCGTCACGACCAACGGCCGCGGGTGCAAGCTCTCTTCACGAATTCGTCGCGAGATTGCGTCTTCCCTGCCTCCGAATCTCGGTCCAGCTTGCGCCCGCCTGGGCACGATCCGGAAACGCATACAAGAGGAAGACTTCCTTTCCCACTCGCTGCCGTCGCCTGAAGAGGAAGAGAGCACAGACCAGACGGCAGCCTTCAACAAGCTGGTCACGGAGGCGGATCTGGATGCGCAGAAGAGCCGGCGCATGAGGTGGCTCTCTCAGATCTGCGAGTACTGGTCGCTGAGCCGGCTGGCGAACATCTCGGACGAGGATGTCGATTTGGTGTTGCAGGCTTATGCAGCCGATCCTTCCACTTCGGCGCCTCTCGAGCCGACGCATCTGGACCGTGTGCAGAAGAAGGGGAGGATCATACTCGCTGGCAGTGGACCGGGACATCCTGACCTCCTCACGCGCGCGACGCATAAAGCCATCCTGTCCGCGGACGTAATACTCGCTGATAAACTCGTCCCGTCTGGCGTGCTGGATCTCATCCCACGGCGAACACCCGTACACATCGCGCGCAAGTTCCCAGGCAATGCCGAGCGCGCGCAAGAAGAACTGCTCTCGCTCGGTCTCGCAGGCTTGCAAGCCGGAAAGATAGTGTTGCGATTGAAGCAAGGTGATCCGTACGTTTACGGCCGCGGCGGCGAGGAGTTCGAGTACTTCCGGAAGGAAGGTTATGGGGATCGCATTTCCGTGCTACCCGGGATTACGAGTGCATTGAGTGCGCCGCTGTTCTCGCACATACCGGCGACGCAGAGGGCGGTGAGTGACCAAGTGTTGATCTGCACGGGCACGGGACGGAAGGGGAAACCGAGTGTGCCGCCCGAGTTCGTGGAGACGAGGACGGTGGTCTTCCTAATGGCGTTGCACCGCATCGACGCGCTGGTTGCAGATCTGACGTCGCACGACAGCCTTGATGCGAAGCTGGTGCTCGAGGGTGGAAGCGTGGACGAGACGAGGCGGGTGTGGCCAAAGAGCACGCCGTGCGCGGTCATCGAACGGGCGAGTTGTCCTGACCAGCGCGTCATTCGGACGACGCTGGAGTTTGTAGGCGCCGCGATTGAGGAGGAGGGGTCCAGGCCGCCGGGACTGTTGGTGCTGGGAAATGCGTGTGAGGCGCTGATCAAGGGGGAGAAGGGGCGGAAGTGGAGTGTCGAGGAGGGGTTCAAGGGGTTCGACGAGTTCACCGGGACGAGCCGTGGGCTCGACGAGTTGGTGATTGACGACCAGAAAGTGGTGCAGGCGAGGCCGGAGGTCGTGAGGGGCGATAGCCTGGGAAGAGAATTGAAGGTTTGATCTGGAGGGCGAGTCGGGACAGTGGGTTCTTGTACCATGTACGGAGTAAGGGTAGAGAGAGGTAGATCCTGCGTTGGCATCTGCGTTTCTCGCGGGTTTCTTGCATAGTATAGCGAGTGTGTGCATGGAAAAGACGAATGGAATGGACTGATACCCCCCCCTCGCGGCCACTCGCTCGTCTCTTTCTTTACTCCTCGCTCCCACGCTATCACCGGTATATAGTTCGTCCACAGCTTCGTAAATTCGTACACAAGCAAGCAAGCAAGCTTCCTCTGTCTCATCCATCCACTACCATCATCCATTTGATCGATGTAGCCCTGCACCATGCATACCCGGGTCCAAACATGCAAACATCCGAATCCCTATTTATCCCCTGTCCCTTTTCTTATCTTGTCTTCTCATCTCTCCTGCAAGCCCGCGCCAACACTCATCCTCAACTGCCTCTGCCGCTGCTGACTCTGCAACTGCAACCGCTCAACCGCATACCCAAGCCGTTCCTTCTTAGCCTTCAGCGCCTTCAACCTCGCCTCCCTCGCCTTTGCCTCCTGCCGTCCTGCTCCTGCCAACCCCCTACCACCAGCACCAAATTCCCTCCCTCCAGATGCCCCTTTCCCAGCGTTTCCTCCTAGGCCCTTCCCAGCACCAGCACCACCACCGCTACCACTACCAAACCCCCGCGCGCCCTCCAGCCGCCCCTCCAAAAGCTCCGACCGAGCGACCACCGAGTCCTTCTTCCGAGCCAGCTTCGCAACGTAGCCGTCTGCGCGCGCGAGCAGCGTCGCGATGGCTGGCGCCAGCTCCGAGGCGAGCGAGGATTGGGCGGCGGTGAGGGTGCTCGAGGGGGTGAGCTCGAAGTGCTGAGGTTTGGGGTGGATTGTTAGTTAGGCGGACAGATAGACAGACAGACAGACAGACAGACAGACAGACAGACAGCTTTGGTGGTTCTGTTTTTGTTTTTTGGTTTTTGGTTTTGTTTTTATGTAGATGAGGGGGGGGGGGCATAAGGGATATAGGGGAGGGGAAGGAGAAGGCGGACGTACGCGTGTACTGGATAGGATCTTCTTGAGGCGGGGGAAGTCTGCGATGCCGGCGTCGAGGATGGCGATGGAGGAGTCGAGGAGGGAGAGGGAGCTTCGGAGGGAGGAGACGGATGCGCTGAGGGAGGTGAGGGATTGGGACTGGGATTGGGTTTGGGTCTGGGTGGACATCGTGGCGGGGTGTCGTCTCGTCGTGTGGACGGTGGGTTCTGTCGTGACGGCTCGGTGCGGCGCTGATGCTGAGTGGACGTGCGGTGCGGCGGCGATGTCAACAGACTGCGACGCGGTTTGGGGGGCTAAAAGCAGCCGTCTTCTGACTCGTGTATTACATAATTAATCTGATGTTCTGACTCCGGGGTAGGTAGCTTCTACGGTACCTGCCAAGCGTGCACAGACCAGGCCCTCCTCGTAATATCAATTACTACTAAATGGTCGAAAGACAGTTACTTACTACTTACTACTTTAGCTGCCTCCATCGCACTCCAGAGCGGGTCGTGCGGTGTAGGGTTACAATACCGGTACGGGAAGCTGCAATGTGCATGGCAGCTCTGCTTTTTGCACCACCGAAGGCTCCCATCAGGAATTCCCAGAGTGCCAAAGAGACGCACTCGCTTGCATCCGAAAGTACTTCAGAAGACCACCTGCGTACCCAGAGTACCACCACGCCAAGTCCGGAAAATCTACCCCCTCCGCAAAGCTCCGGGGTAGAGTTTAAGCTTGCGGCCAGCCTACAGCCTCGAACCGTACCCGTACCCGTACCGGTAGGTAATAGTCAGTGCACTGACTTTGTGACCTGCGGGCTCTCGGTCACAGTCAGGACAAGCAAGTGTCCCAGGTCAAGCAAGTGTCCCATTTCAATTATTTCAACTTATATTGAAATAACTTAGCAACAAATATTGTTATAATATTCAAAACTAGATGCATAGATCGGCGTAATCGAGATCTTTAAAAGTCTAACCAAGTATAGAATCTTTTTACTAACAATTTAATAATTAATAGAATAAATAATGTTTGATTATCGATTGAATTTGATTGAAAATCAAATATTTCGTATTAAAAATTTTATATTTTCGAATATTAATCGTCTTTTGAATTGAGTTTCAATATAAAAATTTGATATTTAAAAAACTCTTAG